AAGGTGAGCAGCATCCAAATACTCACAGATAAACATTATAGACCTGTGCAGCCGATATGTTTAAGGTAGTATACATGTAAAGACACTTTTAGGCTCTGAATCGTCTCATTAGCACAAACATTTCCCAAATTGGGATCAATAAAGTTTTATCTCGTCTTATTTTCAACTTGGTATTAAAGGTGGGGTAGGTAATTTTGAGAAAGCGGCTCGAGAAGCACTTTTTGTTATATTCCATGGAATGCTCTTAACATCCCGATAGCAATGAATATCTGAAGTGCTTTGACAATAAATCCATTAAAATATTTCATCAGTGGAAGCCGTGGCGCTGTAAAAAGCACGACCAATCAGCCGGCCCGGCTAAAGTAACTGGATGGCCTACCTGCCTGTCAGCCTTCCATCTGGGCACAAACTTATCTCGTGCCCTCATTGGTCATGTGTGTGTTGGAGGAGGGGCTCTGTAAGGAAGTGGCAGATTTTCTCCGGCTGTATTTTCAAATTCTAGCGCACTCAAGCCGGTTTCTCCAAACTTACCCACCCCACCTTTAAGATAATGTATTTTTTACACACATATTGTCATGTAAGTCTACGTCATACCACATTTAGATCTAAATTATGACCCTTTTTTTTATCAGACTTTATCGGCTTTGTTGGTTTGAGTAGTTGTGCTTTCTTTAAATATTTAAGCAATGAGATATTTTAAATAAATTATAATCAGGAATGTGAAATAATAACATGGTGTCTCCAGGCAAATAAGACAAGACGTTCTGAAAATGACTTGACTATAAAGAAACACCGCCATTACGATATTAATGCTATTTTCTATTGCGATGTTTCTAGTTTTTTTAATTTTGAATATACAATGCCGTGTCTTTATGCTGCTGCAACGCAAACATGTCCCACATTGGGATCAATAAAGTACTTCTTATCTCCTTCCCTCTTACAAAGGCGCTCCTGCAGTCTCTTCCTGCTGGAGCGTAAGAAACAGAGGAACAGTAATGTGGAAAGCTCTCCTTTTTTATTCAGTCCTGGTTGTCTCGGCAACTGGGACGGGGAGCGTTCCTACATATTTATCATATCCCAGGGAAAAGATTTAGGGTGCTTGTTCTTTACTTGAGTATTTCAGGTGTTCATAGATTTCTGCTGTGATCACTTTTAGGGTTTTAAAAGTTGAAAAAACAACACAGCCATTACGAGATAAGGCCATCATGTCACAATATCGATATTACCTCAGCTCTCTTTACCTGAAAGCGTTAATACCCGTTTGGCTTTGATCCTTTTGAAGTTATCCCATGGGAAAATAAAACTTAAATTGTGAGCTTCGTCGATAATTCCCCAGTTTTGTTGGACTGTTTGACGCTTTCTATGAATGTAATTTACTAACGATCCATTTAACTTTCATGTATAAATATTATGCACCCAGGACATCCTATCCAGAGATGATTTATTTTAAAATATTCCCATTTTAACAGTAAAGTTAAACAAAGTCTCCCGTCTTCTCTCCTGCAGACTCTTGGCACAAAGCCCATCGCTCACATCGACCACTTCATCCCAGAGATGCTGGGGTCAGCCGAGCTGGCAGAGGAGGTCAGCCTGGACGGATCCGGAAAACTGGTGAAGGTACGCATCGAGAGGAGGCTCTGTACTGACATCTAGGACAGTTTAAAATCAATGACGTGTATCCCTGGCTCGAAAACGATGTAAATAAGTTAAAGATTTCTTAAGAGAAGGTTCAAATAATATGGTTTTTAATGCAAAACTGAGTGACTAGTTCAAAGGTTAAAAAGGTTGGAGTTCATAAGCATGTTTTACTTGCTATGAATGTGAGTTAGCAGTTCTTTAGAGAAGGTTAATAAACTTAAATGTGGTTAATGAGCATAGTTTGTTTACTGTGTATACGAGTCAGCCCGTGTAGTTCACATCCTAACTTGAAGTTCACCTGTCAATCTTTCCTTATTATAATTTGAAAGTACTAAAATGGTCAGCCAATACGATGTCATTCTCAGGAAAAGGGGTTGGGCTTAGTCCATCTAATCTATAGACATTAACACCTCCAGTAAACGTTGGATGTCCCCCCCCCCCCCACAGATCACAGGTTGTGCCAGCCCCGGGAAGACGGTGACCATCGTGGTGCGAGGCTCCAACAAGCTGGTGATCGAGGAGGCCGAGCGCTCCATCCACGACGCTCTGTGTGTCATCCGCTGCCTGGTCAAGAGGAGGTCAGTCACTACTGCCGAGTTTATTCCACAAATATCACACACAATTCCTCCCTGCAGAGATACAATCCTGATGCATGTGTTAGGCACTGAGTACAGGAACAGATTCCCTCTTACAAAGGCGCTCCTGCAGTCTCTTCCTGCTGGAGCGTAAGAAATAGAGGAACAGTAATGTGGAAAGCTCTCCTTTTATTCAGCCCTGGTTGTCTCGGCAACTGGGACGGGGAGCGTTCCTACATAGTTATCATATCCCAGGGAAAAGATTTAGGGTGCTTGTTCTTTAATATTTTCAGGTGTTCATAGATTTAGCCTCCCTTCCCATTTCTGACTGCTTGTGTTTCTTGACTCATTGGAATTACTTTTTTAAATGTTCCCAGGTTTCAGATATTTACCCGACCTTTCTTTTGGGCACACATTGTGACATATTGTCTCTTTCCTCTCCTCTTCCTCCTCTCAGGGCTCTGATTGCCGGAGGCGGCGCTCCAGAGATCGAGCTGGCCGTGCGTCTGGCTGAATATTCCCGCACCCTGGCCGGCATGGAGGCGTACTGCGTGCGGGCGTACGCTGACGCCCTGGAGGTGATCCCCTCCACGCTGGCTGAGAACGCCGGGCTGAACCCCATCTCCACCGTCACGGAGCTGCGTAACAGACACGCTCAGGGAGACAAGTCGGCCGGCATCAACGTCCGCAAGGTCTGCTCTCCTTCTCCCCTTTTATTAAAATATACAGTATATTATTGGTTTTCAGACCAGGGTCACACGGTCTCGTCTAAAAACTACAGGTGACCGTGCCTTTCAGGTGGAGCTCCAACACGGTGGAACTCTCCCTATAGACAGTCTCTGTAGAAGCTTTTAAAAAACTACACTCAGAAGACCCATCTTTTGACATTGGCTTTTGTCTCTACTTGAGATGTGTCCTGTTTGTTCCTTTCAGGACTCACGTGGTCTGTGCTTTGTTCTTATGTTGACCTTAATATAGGGCTGCTGGATTATGGCAAAAATCATAATCTCGATTATTTGGGTCAATAATTGTAATTGCGATTATTCATTGACTTTGAAACATCCATTTATTGGAGAGAAAAAAAATGTTGAACAACAGTTGATTACCCTGAACTTTAAGTACAATTCAACTGAAGAATAAAATAAATAAAAAAAGTAATTTTTTTTTATAAAAATCGTTTTATTTCGATTACGTTGTTTTCTTAATCGTTGCAAGCCATAATTGTAATCGCGACTAAAATACGATTAATTGAGCAGCACTACTTTAATGTCTGCCTCATGTGGTTATTGTATTCAGGTTTCTGTGACCTTCATTTTAACTTTTTTCTTGTGAAGCACTTTGTGAATTGTATTTATGTAAAAGGTGCTTTACTAAATAAAGTTATTATTAAAATATACAGTATATTATATATACTGTGCCCTTTTTTGTTCCAGTGACGGCTATATCACTGTTTTAGACACTAGTTTTGACTTTTCACAGGCAAAATAATGAATCATTGAATAAAAAAAAAGTTTGATGGATTAATCATTTAGCAGAAAACAAGTGCTATAGCAATATTAAAACTTTATTCTCTCACTGAATGTAATTTACTTTTGATACAGCAGCATTAAAAGACTGCCCACATGCTTCCCATAAGGCCGTTCATGCTTTTGTCTTGGTTATGTTTTTTCCTCTGATATATTCGACTGGTTTACTTTGTGTCTCACAGGGAGGAATCTCCAACATCCTGGAGGAGCTGGTGGTGCAGCCGCTACTGGTTTCCATCAGCGCTCTGACTCTTTCCACAGAGACGGTCCGCAGCATCCTCAAGATTGACGACGTGGTAAGACACAAGCTGTGGATTAAACTGTCTTTCTGGCTCAGATCACTGCTATCAGGTTTATTCTAAAGTCTGTTTTCTTTGTGTTGTTTCAGGTAAACACCCGATAAAGAGATACGAGTTTGTCCACTGAGTTCTGTCCACGAAGCCTGCTCGTACTGCATGGACCAGAGGACTCTGTCAACGTCAGTCTGTTCAGATTTCCACTGTAGTTGTTACGTTGAGTAATTTAATAATAAAGGCTTTTTTTTGTTGACACTCCAGCTGTTGCCTGTGTGATTCTGTTGCCTCGTTGTTTTAATTTCAGCCTATGGGTAGTGGCCTTCTAAGAGAGGTCATGAGGTAGTAGAAGTTATACATTATACATATACATCGTTTCTTAATGTGGTTTCAGAGGATTTTTTAATCCTCATGTCAGTTCAGATCGATACAAGCATTAGTAGGTATGTTTTAGGGCTTTTCCCCTCTTGTACGTATGATAAAAAGGATCAACATAACTTCACGTCACGAGCAAGCCTAAACACTTAAATGAGATGTATCACACAAGAAAATCTAAGAAAAAAAAAATGTTTCTACTTTTGTAAGGAAGGTAAGTTTGACAAGAGAAATCTATGAAATGAAAAAGTAGTCATAGGTGCATATAATGGCATATCATGCATTGCTGTAAATGAACTACCAAAGCAGTCAAATAAATAACAAACCCAAAACAATAGAAACCCATTTAATTAAAGGGAACGTTTCCCTGCACAATGAGTACTTTGTGTACATTTAGCTGATATTACTTTTACCGAAGTTAGATTTTATTAGTTGTATTAATAGCAGTGAAACTCTTCTACCACTTCTAAATGTCTAAAGTTTTCTCGTACTGATATTCTGCACAAACTGTGCTGTTGTATTAGCTGTAAAGTGTCTTTACTGTAGGGGTATATCTTTATATGTACAGCACTTTGGCTCAACCAAAAATCGTTTATAAATGTCCTATATAAATAAAACTTGATTTGATTTAAATATAATAACACTTAATTATTTATGCAATCATCCTGTCATTTCCTGTCCCGCTACGTCATTTCCTTCCCAACCAAGCACCGCTCCGTTGCTAAGGGGTCCACCTGCTGCCTAGTTACCGAAACAGTTTTCAGCGCGTGGATTACAGACTGATTTGTCTCAAATTATCTCGTTTTTGTCACTTTATTTAACATTTAAACTACATTAAAGTGGAGGAAATACTGCGTCGTCATGGCCAACGCCCACCGGACCAACGCGCTGGTCACTTCTTGTCTGAAAACGCCGGTAGATCCGCACACCAAAGCGCCGTTAGCTTCTTACGAGCGGGGGAGACGAGTGCTGCCACACACATATACCTGTTTAGCGGACAACCGGGACTACGAGAGGGAGGTAAATACACTGGTGTAAAGTAACGAAGAACATTTACTGAAGTACTGTACTTGAGGACAATTTTGAGGTACTACTTTGTACTTCTACCCGACTGCACGTGTACTTTTACTCCACTACATGTATTTAATACAGATACTTCACAATCACAGATGTGGATGAATGATGTGAAATCTAATCAAGTGTTAAATCAGACTTTAGTTCCACCTGGAGTAAATTCACCAGCTACCCTGCAGTATACAAAGTCATTCAAACTAGCTGCTCCTTTACCAGCTTTGAGAACACTTTAATGATCCATCATTATAAAACATATCATATATATTATGGACCAATTGACTACTTGTACTTTTGATACTTCAACTATATTTTGATGCTAATACTTGTTTTTACTTGATTACTTGGGTAACATTTTGAATGCAGGACTCTTACTTGCAATACAAAATATTCCTACTCTCTGGTACTTCTACTTTTACTCAAGTACAAGAGCTAAATACTTCTCCCACCTCTGACGTTACCAAAGCAGCCCACGTCCTGCTAGTTTATACTTTTAAGGCAGAGGTGGAAAGTAACTAAGTACATTTATTCAAGTACTGTACTTAAGTACACATGTGAGGTACTTTACTTGAGTGTTTTCATTTTATACTACTCTATACTTCTAAGCCAGTTTTGTACATGAGTACTTTCACGTCTGTAAGTACATTTTCTTACCATTATTGATGCAGTTGTTTTACTTGAAATGTTATATTCTTACTGTGTGGTATTGGTACTATTTGATTATAATATGAACTGTCAGTGATGGAAGAAGTATTGAGATGATTTAATGTATAAGCACATTGAAAGGGTATTTAGCCTGGGTTATTCATGAAAAGTGTTTGAAGTCAAAGTAGGCAACTCAAAGCAAAACATCACTTCTCAGCAGCTAGAAACACGATTTATTCTGACTGGAATCATCAAAAGTGTCTCGTCCATCGAGTGATTGATCTGGTAACTATTATCACTCGTAGGCATGTGTTTTGGAATAGTTCTATTAGTAAGAAATCATATTTTGATGAACTATTTCAAAAGCGTTTAACTTGTAAAGTAACTAGTTGCTAAATCGTTTGGATATAGTGGATTATGGGATTTCAACTCTCACATCAGTGACAGGTCTGTAGTTTCAACACTGCTATTCATTCTGCTGTGGAGCTACTTAACAACTAACCTTTATATATAAAACACTGTCAACAAGGCTTCTTTTACAGATAGAAAGTAACTAATCAAACTTGATCCAGTTAAAAGTATAGTTACTTCAAATACATGTTGTAGATTTTCACCAAAAAGAATCTCTAATGATGAATGAAGTTATTATGTGAATAAAACCAACAACCTTTTTAAAGAAAATGAATAATTTACCTGCAAAAAAGTAATAATTTGGATTCAAAAGATCCTACTTTTCTATGCTTTGAACAAGGAATTTGCAAATATATATATACATCAAATGGCTTTGCAGCTCATTGGCACATGTCTGAGATGAAAGATGTATTTATGATATAGTTGTAGTGAAACATAACGTCAAGTCAACAGTTGGCAGTTTGAGGTCAGTCCGTCTGATAGAGAGGATTTGAGCTGTATCATTTGCTGGCCTGACTATTTTGGAAAATCCTTCTCGACTACCAGACGTCACGTAACGTTCCATTTAAGTTCCCAAACACTTAACTATCCTTCAGACAACAACCCTGCTGTCCTCAGGCTGTGACCCGTTTCAGCTGATGCTATCATGAGAGGCAGCCACCTGATGCAGGGTGTGTGTCAGTTGAGCCTTTCATGGTAATCTGGCCTTTGTGTTCCACCATATGTCCCGCTCGCTGCTCTTAATAGGCTTAGTTCTGCACGAGCGCTGCTACAGAGGGCCTGGTGCTTAAAAACAATGTCCTGCAGCAAGCAGATATATTAGTTTAGGCTACATTTTATATCATCTTACAAAAGTTCCATGTGTGAAATGATGACCTTTGTCAAAGGAATTAGATATAATCAGAATCGTTGTTATTACTAAGTGTTCACATACGAGGTATTTGCTTTGGTGTAAATGGTTTATAAAAAGACACAGAAAAAACAGTCTTTTTTTTTTTTTTTAAAGGAACAAGAAAAAGTACTATTATAAAAACTATTTTAAAGACTATTGTACATTTCAAATGAAAGACAATAGTTACACAACATATAAATATGTAAGCAACTGAGTGCAGTCAAATAAAGTATAACACATGCTGACAGTGGAGAGCTGTGCAGATTTAGAGGTCGTGTGGAGCAGAAATGTGCCGCATGTTCAAAGGGATGTACAGGATAAAAGAGTACGAGCTATTGCTATTACTTTGTTACAGCAAAGTATAGATGGAGACGAAAGAAATAGAACACTTTTATATAAAAGACACGCACACAGTATTTAAATAGAATATAATGAGATGCGCCTTAATGAAATGTATAAAATGGCCACTGATTGGCAAATGAGCTTTACAAGACTTTTGACCTTTTTCAGCGCGAGTACGAAGACTCTGGCTCTGATTTCTGTGAGGAGGACTATGTGGGGAGGGGGGGGGGCTCTCATGCTGACGGACTACAGAGCGGCAGGAGATCGCCTCGACCTGAGTGAGATCTTCTTCTCCAACGAGGAGTACTACAGCAAGCTGGAGGAGCTGAAGAAGGCTCACCTGCGCACCATGGCCGAGCTGGAGAGCATGTACCGGAGGAAGCTGCAGCTCAAGGCCTCGGAGCCCCCGGGAGCCACCGCGCTGCAGGCAGACAGGCACAGGTGCGTGGCTCCTAGTCAACAGGATTATGTTAAGGCGGATCAAAGGTAATTGTCTGGGGATTCTCATGGATGTTTGTCTGGAGGTTTTATCGGTTGACCCAAATCACAATACATATAGTTTCTTAAAAACTGCTCGTCGTATTTAGCTATGTAGTTTTGTTTTGTGTGCTGTGGGTTTTAAGATATTCACTTCTGACGACATCCCTCTACGATGGAGGTTAATTGCATTTGATGGATTAAGTAAAGTAGGAAGTATTAAACTGTTGACGGTACCTGGGAAAACACATTGCTAATTCATCGTCTCTCTACTTTGTGCGGCACAGATTATCCCAGATATTTCAAAACCTTAAATATATTTGGTTAAAAACATATTCAGCAAGTGAAATTTGATTTATACATTTTGGTGAACTTGTCTTTTAAGGTTTAGTTACATTCTGAGCAAAGTGGCTGTATTTATTTGAAACGTTTAACCTTATTTAAATAAGTATTATACTAGTACTAGTGTTGTTTTAACTGCTTTTCAACACAAGATGTCAAGAATTTGCCCTTTTTAGCTTCCTCTTTTTAAGATACTTATGTTATGCCATTATGAATTTAAGTTCCTAGTTTTTAGGCAAAGACGTCCAGACAAGTGCAATTTTGTCAGTTCCCCATCATTTCAAAACTGGCCTAAAGACCCTCTTCTTTCGGCAGGCCTTCCAATAAACTTTGAGCATGGTACACCTGGAGTACTGCCATTTGTATCGCTATCTCCGACTTTTCTTTTCTTTTTTTATATTTCTTTTTAATTTTTAATTATTATTATCATTTGTTCTCAAATTGTATCAGTGTCCTTTGTTGTGAAGCGCTTCGAGATTTGTCTTGGCAGACAGGGGCGGACTGGGACTACAAATCAGCCCGGGACTCTCGACCGGCCCACCTCGGTCCCGCAAGTAAATACCGCTAGTAAATTGTCAACGGGGGGGAGTGCGGGTGCTAGTGACTTATCCGACCGGCCCACATCGTCCGACCGGCCCACTTCAGTGCCGGCCCATCGGGATTCGTCCCGAGCGTCCCGATGGCCAGTCCGCCCCTGTTGGCAGATGAGAAGCGCTATATAAATTAAATGTATTATTATTTATTATTTAACAATGATTATTCAGCAATGAAGACATAGTTATGAACATCTTTTTCAAGTTGTTTGATATAAAGTGATGGTCTGTCATTGTATTCGATGAGGTGCTTTGTCATATTGACGCTCATTGGTTGATGTTCCCTATAGGGTCCCATGGTCACACGGCAGCCCAGCAGCTTCACGTCACTTGAGGAAGTCTCAGTCTGCAGTTGAGCTGAGGAGGAGCTCCCCTCTTTCAGACTACTCAGACGAAGAGGAGGAAACGCATGTGGAGAAAGGCTTGGTGTGCTCTCCTAAAGAGCACATCAAGAACATGTGGCAGGACTTCAAGCTGTCCCCTAAACACCTGTCCGCCTCCTCCGTGCAAAGCCTGTCCGCAGACCAGAAGAAGCCACGCAAGGGAAGAGGAAAGAAGAGGCAGGAGCATGAAGACAGAGAGCAGGACAACTTGAAACCCAAATCCACCGTCCCAGAGCCTTTCCAGATGATGCTGCGTGAGGACGAGAGGCGGAAGCGTGGCATCAAGTCTCGCTCAGAGATCGAACAGGAGAACGCAGACCTGAGGCGGCAGCTGGAGGAACTGACCGAGTGCCAGAGGAAGTTCCGGGCCAGCCCCATACCGGCTCATGTTCACCTCCCGCTCTACGAGGATCTGCAGGGGCGCAAGAAGCGAGAAGACGTGCAACCTCGAACCCTCCAGAAGCCCTTCAGCTTCCTGGAGAGGGAGCGGCTGAAGAAGGAGCAGAAAGAGCGCCATCCTTCACCCAATGAGGACAGAGTGAAACCCTTCAGAGCCACGCCTGTTCCCAGGTCTGTGTACGCAGCTGCCACGGGCGAGCAGATGAAGGAGGAGCAGCTGTATCGCTCCATCAAGATACAGATGAGAGCTCAGGAGATGCTCCACAGCGCCGCCATGCCTCCCAGCATGCTCACACGACGACTCAGCGACCGCAAGAAAAACAAAGACGGTAGCTCTGAGGTCAAAGGGGACGACAACATCTCCCACAAACTCCACATCCACACAGAGGTGCCCGACTTCGACGCCCGTTACAGACGCTTCCAGAAACACCTGGAGAAACAGAAGGAGGTGAAGCCCACTACTACGTGCGAACCATTCGAGTTGAGGACGTCCCACATCAGTTCGCACCGTGAACGCATCCTGGCCGACATGGAGAAGGAGCAGAGCAGCCCGAAGGCGATGCGCTGGCCACACGTCAGCCGCGGGAAATCTCGCACGGCAAACTCTAGCCTGTGCTCGTCGCTCTCCGGCAGCCTGGAGATCCTGCCGGGGAAAGTGACAGACGCCACAAAGAAGCGCCATGACGCCGTGAGGTACCACATCAGGACTCCAAAAGCTTCCACCCTTATAGTTGAGATAGAGAGATCCTCAGAACTCCAATGTCCTGTTTCCTTCTGTGTTTGAAACCCCCTGCAGGAAGACTCTGTTCCCAACATCCCCGCTGAATGCTCACAACCCAACACCTGTAGCTGTGTGTCAGAGTCACAATCAGAAACAGGTTTATCATCAGGTAGGTTGACACGTACGAGGAATTTGACTTGATGTCACGGTGCTTACATACAATTAAAAACACAGATAGAGAATTATTTTAAGAAAATTATAATAATAGAAAAAAGATTCTCTCTCTTTTTGTCCTGATCCATTTCTATAAAAACCTGTCTGAAAATGAGATGATCAGATTTTGGCCACTTTATGAATGTTTTTTTGTCTTGTGTAACCATTAGCCAATCAGCAACCAAGGTAACCATCACCCCCCCCCCCCCCCCCCCCTTATCACCTGAATCTTCTCCTAGAGCACCATTGAGTTCTTTGTAACCAGATCTCTCTCAGAGGGGCGTGGGGAGGGGCTCCTTATTTTCATCTAAAGTAACAGACAGAGAATCAGCACTTTGGAAACAGGGCTGAAACAGAGGGGATTATGGGTAATGCTGCAATGATCTGTTTGGTGTTTCAGCCAATCAGAGACAGGCTCTGGATATATCTGAGACCTGTGATATATTGATGAAACACAGCATAATAGGGGACCATTAATGTAATGCATCGAGGATATCCATATCCTCCACTATCTGCCCCCCCTCCTCCCACAGCAGTCCCCCTCCTATCCAAACCCTCCTGTGACAAGAGTGTCTCCCTGAGTAGAAAGGTGCTGGAGGAGAGGAGGAAGGCCGAGGAAGAGGAGGAGCGGTGGAAGGAGAGCCAGAGGCAGAGGGAGAGGAAGCTGCAGCGGGTGGTGCTGAAGCGAGCGCAGGCCAACGACCCCCACCTGGCTCTCTCTCTGACGAACCAGGGCAAACTCAAAGAATTCAGGTACCCTAAAACCGCTGCTACGGACAGTCTGGCACTGATGTACATTTTCAAAGATATTGAAGTGACTGTTATTTTGTATGTATTGATTGTTATGCTTTTATTTAGGTCTTAATGTGTGCATATGTATAAGTGTGTCTTTGATTGTGTACATATAGGTATACATATTTGCATACATATTTTTTAGTATTTTTGTATTCTGGATTGTGGGAACCGGTATTTCGATCTCTGTCTGTCCACACAAACTGAAAGATTGACAATAAAGTTGACTTTGACTAAAAACACCACGACTGCAGAATGAGCTGAACAGAGTGAAAAGGTGGTGATCCATAGTTTTTGATTCTCTGCAGGAAACAAGGGCTTCAGCGTAAGAAGGAGTACCAGCAGGAGATTAAGGAGATGAAGCAGAGAGTGAAGGGCAGACCGCTGCTGCTGGAGCAGGTCGCTCAGGTACGACCACCTACAGCAGGGGCGTCAAACTCAAGGCCGGGGGCCAAATCCGGCCCGCGACCTAATTTTATGTGCAGAGCTTGCAAAGAATATAATATACAATTGGTGTAATTGTTGAATATTTACTTTCAATGATTTGCCCTAGACTTCTGCTTTCAGACGTAGTTATTTAGGAAGATATTACCAGAACTGATAATAATCCAATGCAGAGCCAACAATGTAATATAATACATTATTTGATGTGATGGGATGAAATTGAGTTTGACACCCCTGAGCTACAGGTTCAGTTCAGGTTATTTATTCGTACCTGTAGGTAGATTTTGTTTGCAGATCAAAGACGAGGGATTCATGATGACACACATTCTGAAACAACACAGACTACTTCTAAGATAAGATAAGAAGTACTTTATTGATCCCAAATTGGGAAATGTTTGTGTTGCAGCAGCATAAAAAGACAGGGCATTGTACATAAGAGAAGTTAAAAGACAAGAAATAAACAATCCAAAATGTAAACATCTCAAATAGAAAGCATTAAAAAAGTAAAAGAGGATACATTACATTAGATGTTTTTATCCAAAGCGACTTACATACTCAATACTGTGGGTAATCCCCACAGGAGCAATTTGGGGTGAAGTGTCTCAGGGACACAACGACATGCTGACTGCAGTGTGGTTTGAACCTGTGCTCCCCTGATCCCAACACCAACGCACAACCCCCTGCGCCACACGCCGACAAAGTACACCCTGCTCCGTCACATCTTAAAACATTTGAAAACCATTAGTACAAACATCTACTAGTGCACCTCCATGTTTAAAACAGTCAATACAGCAGATTCAAACAGCTTCTGAACCCGTGTTGACCCGTCAATGCAATAGAACATTTAAATTAGCTAATTAATACAAACTAAAGGTTTCACTTTTCCATTTCTGTATGGTTGATGCAGACCGTTTTGATTTCATAAATAAAATACTATAAACTAACCCCATAGCATTACATCATGTATATCAGGGGTGTCAAACTCAAGGCCCGGGGGCCAAATCCGGCCCGTGACTTCATTTGATGTGGCCCCACAAGAGCTTGCAAAGAATATAATATGTTTATTATACGGTTACATGCCGCTTTACAGAAGCATGTTGCTCATAAACTACATGTCCCACAATGCATCTCAAATATGTCTTTTTTCTCAGAATTTGACTTTTTTAAAAAAATCATTTTGTGACATTCTCACTGAAGAGACTTGCAATTATTTGCCCTAGACTTCTGCTTTCAGACGTAGTTAATTATTAAGTTATTACCCTATCCCATAATAATCCAATGCAGAGGCAATCATGTAATATATAATACATTATTTTATATATATTAAACATTTATACATGTATTTTTATATAGTCTTAAAGTTACAACCGGCCCTTTGAGTGCAACAATAATGCTGATGTGGCCCGCGATGAAATTGAGTTCGACACCCCTGATTTAAATTGTTATATGAGGTGATATTTCCATGAACATAGTGAGGTAACTGAAGAGAAAATAATCATATCTTCAGTATAAAGCTAACTTAAAACATTGTTACATTACTGAACAAGTTGCTGCTTGTTGAATGGACTTTTTAACATGACATTAATGTTCATTTTAATGCATCAAACATTATAATCCGACCATATAGTATGCACTATTTTAAATGGATCATAATAATATTTACTTTAAGTATAATTTTATGCTCACACCTTTGTACTTTTTCTTTAAGCATGTTGAATTCAGGACTTGAACTGTATTTCTACACTGCACTTTTAAACAAGTAAAATATCTGAATAGTTATTGTAATAAACTGTTAATAAAATGTATAATTGTCTTAGCATAAGTGCGTGGATCCATTAATATCACAGACTGATGCAATCCAACATCGGATGAGTATCTGAGTGTTATTTCTCGAACAAAAGCTTTGTTTACATTTCTTCCAGTCGGCCGAAGAATTGATTTTAAAGTACTATTGCTAGTTTTTAAATCATTACATGGTTTATTGTTGATCTCCTACATAATAACGAACCATCAAGGTGCCTCGGGTCTTCTGGGACGGGTCTGCTATCGGTTCCGAGAGTAAGAACAAAACATGGAGAAGCAGCGTTTAGCTATTATGCCCCGACACTCTGGAACAAACTGCGAATCATGCACGTCTGCAGAAACTCGTGCTATTTTTAAATCGAGACTGAAAACATTTCTCTTTGCCGCTGCTTTTAATTGAGCTGCTCATACTCGCACTGCAGTATGCCATTTAAACATGTATTATATACCTGTTGTGTTTATTTGACTATCTTTGCTTTTTAATGCCTGTTTTAACATGCCATTATATAATGTGTTTTTACTGTATTTATTCCTAAAAAGTCTTTTCATTTGTTTTATAAAGCACTTTGAATTGTCGCGTGCTGAAAAGTGCTTTATAAATGAACTTGCCTTGCCTTGTTTGGATGTTGTTGTTTACGCTGACTCTCTGCACTTTGATAACAGAGGAATGCTAAGCAGGCGGCGGAGAAGCGCTACGCAGACGCTCTGCAGGGATGTGACCTGACTGAAGACTTCATCAGCAGCAAGGCGGCTGGAGCAGGATCTGAACACAACGCCTCTGAGTCCAGAGACAGCACACAGAGGTGAGTCTGCGGAAACACACACACTGCGGCTGAGTGTAATGAGATGAATCATCTGGGAGGGGCCGCAGTGAAACATTTGATCAAATAAAACAGCCGATAGCTTCAAGTTTTTTAAATATGTTTAGTTAAATACACAACAATTACAGAGATGCAGTCGTGGAAATGTTAGCTCTGAGGCTCCCTCCGACAGTGGTCATTTAAATAATAAAGAAAGTCATGCAAGTAAAACATGAGAATCTAAGACATGGAATAATATCTTCTTTTAACAAAAGGATTTCCTAAAACTTACCTGAACATTTTTAGGTGGATTTTTTATTTGTGCATTGTTATCCTATTTTTTTTCTTAGCGCTGGACTTGTTAAGTGCTGTACAATTACAATCACTACAATTTACATTTGATAAATTATAAATAATAATTGTTAAAGGTGCGGTAGGTAATTCCTTCAGAAACACTTTTTGTTATATTCCATGGAATGCTCTTAACATCCAGATAGCAATGAATATATTAAATGCTTTGACAATAAATACGTTAAAATATTTAATCTGGAAGCCGTGGCGCTGTAAAAAGCACGACCAATCATCTGAGCCGGCCCGGCTAAAGTAACTGGATGGCCTACCTGCCTGTCAGCCTTCCATCTGTGCACAAACTCATCTCGTGCCCTCATTGGTCGTGTGTGTTGGAGGAGGGGCTCTGTGAGGAAGTCTGAAGGAAGGGGCAGATTTCTTTCGGCTGCGTACTTTCAAGTTCTAGCGCACTCGAGCTGGTTTCTCCATTCTTACCTTTAAGTCAAATACAAACATACAAAACCAGATTTAAATATGTTATTGATTCACAGTTTTTTGATTGATTCATTAACGAAATACTAAATAATATGCATCACAACAAGGATAAATAATTAAATCAATAGTCAAAATATGTTTATTACTAGAAGTGAAAACACAAATGAACACCAAAATGTGATTAGGGTTAATCATAGAAACCCCATTTATCTCATGGAGTTGGGAATCTTTGTTAGACTTGGATCCGGGTGATTAGTGATCAATTGTTTAGTGATTAGTTAGATATAATCGGGGGTATGAGACCCTCTTTAATGGTCTCACATGCAGAGCACACAGTGACATGTGTTCTCTGCTTTTAACCCATCCTAGCAGCTAGTGCAGAGCGCCCGGGGAGCAATGGGAGTGGGGGGGTAAGGGGGATGTCCGGTGCCTTGCTCAAGGGCACCACGGCAGGGCAGGAGGTGAACTGGGACCTCTCCAAGTAGAAGTCTGTACTCCATGTTTAGGTCTGGTCAGGGACTTGAACCGGCGACCCTACGGCTCACAGTCCAAGCCCCTACTGACTGTTGTTTGTGTGTACTATGAATGATTACAGCCATCTTTAAGGCCTGCTAGTGTCATTGATCTGATCTGATTGTGTTCCTGCTTGTTAGTGAACAAGAGGAGCCAGACATGGGGTACAAACCTGTTCACTACAGGAAGGTCTTCATGGGAGGTAACGATGTGGATCCAGAAGAAAAGGAAGGAGGAAGCGACGCGACTTCACAAGGTCTCCGTGACAGTGAGGACGCCAGCAGTCACCACTCTGATCAGGATTCAGATGGAAGTTACCACTACTCAGACGATCACGAGAATTATTCAGACGACAGCGAGCACGACGCTGACACCTCAAAGCAGGAAGAAGGGAAGTGATGGCATCGAATATCATGAAACAAGCGGCCATTGCTACGTCCAAAAACTCTGATAGACACAACTGAGTGAGGAGGAACAACGAAAAGTTTTCAATTCCTTAAATGATAAGATGTTTTATGTTATTGTAAATATTGTGCTCACATATTGTGCTCATAAAATTGAGACTTTGATATCTTTAACCTGAGTACCTACATACTGTACATAGTGAGCAGTTATTTGACATTTCCATGACTTTGCATCAATAATGACAGGTTTAATTTCACATAACTGTAGTTTCAACATCTGTAAAATGTAATGTAAAACACTTGTGTAATTAGATCTATGATATAAATTAAGTTATATTTATTTATTGCTATATGAAATATTTATTGTTGTTTTTTGTTGTTACACTGGACGATCTTCAATAAAGCCGCAAAAAGTGACCACTTGTTTTTTCCTGTAATGAATTTAAGCAATGGCGGAAGATGAATACCACACTGTGTAAATACTCCACTCATAAAAATGTATTCAAAACCTTAATTAGGTTAAAGTTTGTTAATAGTTATACAAAAATATTATCAACCAATACAAATATATCTAAGTATATTAATAGATTAGGCTATACAGCCATACAGTACATACAATCAATCAATGAATATAAAAAATATATATAACCAACGCATTTTTTGTATTACTTTCAAATGGATTATTCTGCATAATGAGGAGCCTTTTTCTATTTATTTGTTGACATAAAGTACATTTCGAAACTAATACATTTTACACTTAAATGCAGGACATTTACAAGGCTCTTTCATACAAAATACATACACACAAAGAGATAAAACAGTGCAAGAACCAGGGTATGTAAGTGTCAGTGTAAATATTGTATTTATTTTCAATTATTAGTTATTATAGGACAATGTGTTGCTCCTTTTTGTAACGTTTTCTTCTTTCTGTGCACCATTTACACCAAGGAGAATTGCTCTTATGTGTAAACCTTCTTGGTTATAAATATCTGATTCTGAAGATATTTACTTTATATCAGAGGGAGGGAGGCTGAACCAGATTGACAGCTCCACCCAGCCTATGACACCGCATGACGTCGGCACCCGCACAGCCAATCAGGAGCCAGGTGGGCGGGTACATAGTCCAAATTTTACGCGGCGCGCAACGGGCCGAAACACCGAGAAAGAATATCCCGGTCTCAACCGGTTTCAACCGGTCCGTGGTTGGAAGCATGAGCTTAGAGGAAGAGCCCACTTGCACGCATTAAAACATCTCTGCTCTCCAACAGTGTGTGCGAATAGAATCAGAAATAAACACGAAACTCTTTTTACTTCGTGATTATGACCCGGAATACTGCTCTAAAGTGTGACTCCGAGAATCTGTGTTGTTAGCTTAGCTTAAATGAGCCCGCAGACCAGAATCTTCATTGACTTTTCCATTAGCACGCTACATTGCTATTAGCCTGGTAAAAGGGAGGCGGCTGTAATCACTGATCGCTAAAGAAAAATATACGTTTTTCTGGCTGAAGACAAGAAACTATAGGCTGTGGTAATCTGCGGAAAGCTTTTTAATACACCGCCAAGAATCGATAAGTATCCGTGTAACGGTGTTTTTAAATTAGAGCTGTTGGTGTCATCCAGTGAAGCTAACGTTAGCATTTTAGCTATCGAAGGTTAGGAGCAAACGTGTGTCATGAGATAACGTTTCATCGCTTTGAGAGGATTCATATTACTACAAGACACATCTGATAGGACAGTTATTGTTTCCAAGGAAAGGACAGGACACCCAAGGTAAGTTAAGCCCGATAAACAGTAACCTAACTTACCCAGCGTGGGCTAACGTTAGCATCCGTTTCTAAAGTAATGTGGTTGTTATTGTCTAACTACACAAACCACAAACTGACATAGTGCAGTGTTTTAGCCCGAGGACTAGTATCTCCAGGATCTGTTTCCCAACCGTCTTTTAATTAAAGTGTAGTATAAACGGGTCGGTCGGGTTGTGGTGAATGGGGTTCTACGCGCCCTGTTATCCAGGTGGGGGCGCCGTTTCATCTCGTCCTAGTTTATGAAATAATGGGTGTCATAATTGGACCACGAGGCTGACAGTCTTGACACATTTTGGCTGAACAGGAATAACGTGTCTTATTATTTACTACTACTTTTTATCCGTACTATTGTATTGTATATCTTCAATATGTATCCATGGTAGGCATTATTCCTGCATTGTCTTAACACCTTACCATGTGTGTACTTTTGCTTTAGTCCATTTGCACATACTGTGTAATTATAGTATCAGAAGTTAATGTTTTGCCGTTGCAGGTTAGCAGAATGGCCTCACTTATGATTGTATTCATAAGTAAGCAGTCTTTCTATGTTGTCAACGTAGGGCTGATAGTAACTCCTCTTACTGTACAGTACTGTTTTTTTACCTGATTAGAAAACAACATGTTGAATCTTGACCTGGGGAGCCAGCTTTCAGTTAAATGTTGTGCACTAAAGAATACAATATTTCACTCTGAATGTAGTATTTTTGAAGTGGCAGAATATGGAAATGCCTACTTGAGTTAATGCACTTAATAAGATTCCACCCCTGATTTAAATGTCCTGTTTGAGTTCCCAGGTTTTTTAGAGCAGTATTTAAAATGTAAATAAAGCATATTTATTATCAAACAAACTACAGTCACAGAGAAGCAGCTGCTGGCAATGAAAGTCTTCACTCCTACTATAGATCTGTGTATTTGTTTGACTTTCAAGGCATATCTTTGAGTATTATCAGCTGCTGTTATATAGATATAAGTGTTAGTCTGTGGAATACCTGTAGATGCACTGAAATATTGTCTATCTAAACTGAAAGTATTATTTAGGAGCCAAATCATGAATGGTTATGAACAGGACCTGTAAAATCCCATTTGGTGTTATTTCTTGTAAAAGTAATTTCTTTCTGATTGTTTTGTAAAAAAACGAATTAACGAGACAAACATGTCGCTGATGACGATGACCTAATGTTTTATTTATAAGATAAATATATGTTAGAGGGGGGAGGACCAGAAACGTTTTTTAAGCTTCTTCTTGCCCCTGTTGAACATGACAGACTATCTGAGAATTATTATTATTTTGTTGTTGTTATTATTTGTTTTTTTGTACTTTGTTATAATTATTAATTTGAGTGAGAAAAGGAAAAAAGTCAGAGAATATATATATATTATTGTTGTATGTTTTTGTTTCTGACATGTTCAATAAACTGACTTAAAAAAATAGGATATGGAGTTTAAACGGCTTCTCTTCCCTCAGAAGCTCTATGCCAGCCGAAATGACAATGTTGGCCGATCACCCAGCCAGACAGCTGCTGGACTTCACTCAGAAGCTGGACATCAACCTGCTGGATAATGTTGTCAACTCCATGCACCATGACATTGGATCACAGGTGAGGACCAACACTTCAAGTGTCTGAACACTGTTGCGTAGCTTAACCCTGCTGCTATTAGAGGAGATCAACTCAAATAAGATGTGTAAGAAAATAAACCTTAAGATTTATCTTTGCTGTATTGCTCTTTTTTTTTTATAGCAAAGAGTGGCCCAGGAAGTTCTCACAAACCTCAAGGACCACCCAGACGCCTGGACGAGGGTCGACACCATCCTGGAGTTCTCCCAGAATATGAAAACAAAAGTACGTACCTGATGAACGCTGGTGTTCCAGAAGCGATGAACTCCTAGCTGCTGCTTGTGGATGGTCTCTTGGGGAATGTAATAATGTGAGCTGATGTTTATCCACATCAGGCTTTCAGGGCAGGGAGGTTTGAGCAGGACTTCTGCTTTAGCCCAGCTGTATTTATTGGACTTTCTCCAGCCCATAGATGCTTACTAATGTGTGGTCGTAGGCTTAACTATTTCAATTGTTGCTGCATCTTTTGATAATAATATAGATGGAATCAATAGAGTTTAATTGATTTGTTAAATAGGTTTGATATAAATGGATAATCTGCACTGAGTTGTAACAAGAGATATTCATTTGAGTACGTCAATTTGAAATATGTAAGAAGACATGGGTAATATGTAGGTGTTAAGAAAGTCATTTAAAAACATTTGAGTACATCTCTGACGTTAATGTGCCAACTACAAACTATTGGGGCACACAGTTCATTTGATACTATATCAAGTATCCACGTGCATGGACATGTTTGGACATGTCTTTGGATGGGGACGGTTCCTGGGTTTATGGGCCATGAGACATCTTTTGTTTAACCTCCCCATAGAGACATTCAGTTTGTATTATATCATATTAAGCCATTTGTTTGTTGTTAATCGGCTCTGATGTAAAGAATATGTCTCTTATGGCTCACTTTCCCCCCCTCAGTATTACGCACTGCAGATTCTGGAGACGGTCATCAAAACACGCTGGAAAATTCTTCCTAGAAATCAGTGTGAAGGTCAGTTTTATGATGTTAAATGAATATGCACACGATGTTTTCTGTCTGAAGTGTTACTTATCAGGGAAATACTTTTTGCATTTTAAAAATTCTAGTCTGTGTTCGCAGGTATCAAGAAGTATGTTGTTGGGTTGATCATTAAGACGTCCTCTGATCCTGCAAACATGGAGGTGAGCTTACACAAAGATACGTCACTTTGATTATTAACCTGCTGCTTGATACTGATGGGACTGGTGTGGTTCATTTGCAGAAAGAGGGAGTCTACATTTCAAAACTCAACATGATCCTCGTACAGGTGAATAACTCTTGATGGTTTACACGTGGTACACTAAACGTCATGACGCGATGAGCCTGCTCACACACAGCTCTGCTTCTCTGGACTGTTTCTAGATCCTGAAACAGGAATGGCCCAAACACTGGCCGACTTTCATCAGTGACATCGTGGGTGCGAGTCGGACCAGCGAGAGCCTCTGTCAGAACAACATGATCATCCTCAAGCTGCTCAGCGAGGAGGTCTTTGACTTCTCCAGCGGACAGATGACCCAGGTGAAGGCCAAGCACCTCAAAGACAGGTAACCGATGACTCATTAGGGTTGCAAAGGGGCGGAACATTTCCCATACATTTCCATGGGAAGTTAAGCTGGGGAATTTGGGAAATATTCCATATTTGAAATAAATAAAAGTTTTCCGCACTCTCGCAGGAATATCTCGTGTTTTTGGATATTTGGGGAGTTAGGTGGTCCGCGAGTGTTTTTTTATTGGTTAAGTGGTCCGGTATGAAAAAGTTTGAGAAACACTGCTCTAGATGAATACATTTGTATGTGATATTTGCAATTTAAACATTAAATAAGTTATACGTATAAATATATTACCCCATAATGTCGTCAAAATAGGGATGCACGATATTGTTTTTTTGAAACCGATAACTTCCTGCTTCTCAAGACCGATACCGATAATAATATAATATATATTAAATGTACCTGTAGGTTTTGCACACCTGGTGGTAAAACAAAGACTTGTAGTGAGCAAATGACATGAGCATTACTACTATGAACAAAACAAAGCCAAGAACAGTTTTGACTCTCGTCAAGCGCCATCATTTCTATGATGAAGTTAGAGATCGTTTTAGCCCTGGCGTCGTCTCTGGCAAACTTCTTGCCTTTTTCAAAAGCCTCGTCGATAGGTAAAAGCCCCGGTGCCTTTGCAGCCGGCTTTGGATTCGCCGCTAGTTTAGCAGCGCAGGCGTCTTCGTATGCTTTTAACACACCATCGTAGCGATGGCGATGTTTCAGGTGACTAATCAGGTTGGAAGTATTCTAGCTCGTTGCCTTTTCCCCTCCTCGTGGAACTTCTGCATTTGTTAATACAAATAGCAAGCGAACTATCTAACTCTGAAATAGTCCCATACCACCGGCGACATGTTTGTTTACTGTCCTGGCTTCACGGCTGCACACCATTTACGTCACAGCCAGGCATGAGTTAGGGAGCGCTGGATTTGTGAAAAACTCCCCTCTTCCTAAACCACTAATACCACAGTACTGGCAAAACGGGAGGAGCCGAGTGAAAAACAAGCGCCCCTCATCCCAATCCACCCACACCGCAGTATGTTTTCTTTTTTTTTACCCAAAAGATATATTGTATATTATCGGGGCTATTAATACTGGTATCGGGTTTATCGGGATGACGTCATAATTCCTAATATCGGACCGATTATTATCGCATCACATCACATCAAAGCCTGTGTAGTACACAGGCTTTGATGTGTGGCTTTATTTGTCTTGTGCTTTGGGATCAAAAGTGTGATCCAGCCTTCTAGAAATCATGTGTGCATGTGATGGAGGAATGCACAGTGCCTGTAGGGGGTGTGGTCTCAATAGCCTTGCAGTCAGCAGTGTGCATGTGATGGAGGAATGCACAGTGCCTGTGGGGGGTGTGGTCTCAATAGCCTTGCAGTAAGCAGTGTGCATGTGATTGAGGAATGGCATGGATATTCAAGTGTACTTGAATGGCATCTGTTTGTTTTAGTCGGATAGATTATGCTAAAAATATACTTTCCCCAGCTATATTTAAGTTCCCTACGAGCCAACCTTCAATTTAGAAAATGTCCAGTTTATAACCGTTAATTCCCATGGAAAGTTCCCATTTTTGAAAATTCCCGGAATTTTGCAACCCTACTCATAATGTACTGGGACAATGGCTGCACAATAGCCGCTTTCACACCAAGTACTTTGCCGTACTTAGTGCCGGCACTTAATACCCCAGGGCACTAAGTACCAATCGCGTAAACACCGGAGTACTTTTCCCTGAGGGAAGATTACGCAAATGAGCCGCTGACGTCACTTCTTCTTCTTCTGCTTTGGGTTTACTGGCAGGCCGCAAACAACTTCACGGCGTATACTGCCGCCCGGAGTTGGGGACTGGCTTCAGTAGAAGCTGCTGACTCCCTGCAGCTTCTACTGACTTCTAGCTAGCCTTCCGAGTAAATCACCAGAATGCTAATGCCAATGCCAATGCCACAAATACAATGGCGGCTTCACAAAACTTTTCAGATTTTTACGTTGCGTGGTTTGCAATTCGCCCAGCCAATAGAAATTGGTACTTTTTTGGTACCGCCTCTCTAGCAGGCACTAAAAATGGGGGTAAAAGTTCCCGGCACTAAGTACTCTTTTTGGTGTGAACGCGACATCAGGGGTACTAACGGAACTAAACGGGAAAAGTACGGGGAAAAGTACTCCGGTGTGAACGCGCCTAATGAATGGACATGTTATTGAATTGCAATTTGGACTAATGTCATATTTTGTAAAGGTGAACATATCGGTATGTAGTATTGTGGTGCTGCAGCGAGTCATGTCAACAAATCCATGTCTGGTACACATCCTCAAATCAAACCATTAATATTTAGAATTTTTTTTTTACTGAAAATGAGTGTTTAAAAAATGATCCTTCCTGCTCATTTGGCAATATCAGTACAAATATTTGTAATTCTGCATCCCTTAGTGTGACTTATGTGAATTGTAGAGTTGGTGCAGTTTGATCGAATGCTTTGTCAATCCTTTCTGCAAATAAAAAGTATACATTTTTGGAACAGAAAGCGGTTTATTTTTTAAATAATAACAATCGTTTATATGGGGAAAAATGACTCCTCTTGGTACCAGATTTTGTGTGTTATGCAGAAATGTCCACATATTCTAAAACGTTTTACGACATGACTACCATCACTGATGTTCCCTACCTTTTGTTTCTCAGCATGTGCAACGAGTTCTCCTCCATATTCCAGCTGTGCCAGTTTGTGATGGTAAGACATGAATGAATTAATGAAACCAAACTCTCCTCAGACACTGATGTTTTAATTAAACCCACAATCTATTCTAATGCACATTTCTTCTTTCTCTGAATAGGAAAACTCCCAGAATGCACCGCTGGTCCACGCTACACTGGAGACTCTGCTCCGCTTCCTGAATTGGATTCCTTTAGGTTACATCTTCGAGACCAAGCTCATCAGCACTCTGGTCTACAAGGTAAAGCAGAACATATCCATTCAGATGAACAAAAGTGAGGGTTAGACATTTGTATAATTTTCTGAATCTCAGTGATAGAAATGTGGGGTTGGTGGTCCACAAATACAAAGTAAAAACACACAGTTCACATAAAGTAGAACTGTATTGTACTTGTGAGTTTTGAAAGGGAATATAGCCGATTCCACAGATGTTTACTTCTCCCTATTCTTTTTGTGTATCACTTTAGTTCTCGGTAACATAAAGCATCTACTTTTGTGCTTAACTATTGCTTTGTGTCATTGTTTGTTTTTCCACCTCTGATGAGTGTGTCCTCTTGCATCAGTCCATCCTTTGAAGGAGTTACATTTAGCCTCAAGACAACACAATGAGTCGCTAATGACTTCATGGATTTGTTGATGGATAGAAAATTATTCACCAAACTTGGATTATTTTATAGATATTTCAGTTATTTTCCAATGGAATATTTAAGAATTGTGGATTTTCTCAGTTTGATATCTTCTTAATTGAATCAAATCAAATCAAGTTTTATTCATATAGCACATTTATAAACGATTTTTGGTGGAGCCAAAGTGCTGTACATATAATAAAAATAGCCTACAGTAGAGACACTTTACAGTTCTCTTTACAGTAGAGAATGTCTGCAGTTAATTTGAGGAGGCTACCCCTGGGAAATCCTGATGGACGTTTCATTACACTTTATAGACCAGGCCATTCGCTTAAACTTAAGCTATTTCTAGCTCCAGCCCTAGTTTGGTCTGCTGTGAGCGTCTCACGGTTTTCTGTCTACAATCACTACTGAATGTTAAAACTGCCATTTATCATGGAGAAATACGGAGTAGTGATTAACAAAACAGACAGGACAGTAAACGTCTCCAGTTGACCTCTGACCTGACCTGTTGTTTGTATTCCTGTGTTTCAGTTCTTGAACGTGCCCATGTTTCGCAACGTTACGCTGAAATGTTTGACAGAGATCGCCGGCGTGAGCGTCAACCAGTACGAGGAGCAATTTGTCAACCAGTTCACCCTCACCATGGGCCAGCTTAAACAGGTACACACACACACACACACACAGCACTCTCATTATGAGTGGTGCTTTAGTTAATTGCACTCAGAATGATTACACACAAGCACAGTTCCACATGTCCACTCTGTTATTACTCACACAAACACACACTTTGTGCAACCCTCCTCAGTTTCCTACCTCACACACACAGTAGGCAAAGTCTGCACTCTCAATAGTGCTGTCAGCTTGTTGTTACACACACACACACACAATACAAACACACACACACACACTCAACATTGTCATGCAGTGTAAGCAGTTTTCTGTTTGTTCACTGTAATTACAAGAGGACAAGAATAACAGTGAACGTGTGTTTAAGTGTTTTTATGGAAAGCTTTAGGAGGAATTTCAGTGTCTTTGTTTGATTGAAATATGACCTACTTTATTTATCCCCAAGGCCATTATTGTGCATTACAAAATATACAAATAAACATAATAATACTAACAGTGCAGTAAAAAGAGCAAGCAGGGTTACCGCGAGGTCTTAAAAAGTCTTACATTTGATAATCAGAATAAGAAAGGTCTTAAATATGATTTAGAAGGTCTTAAAAATGATGGGATTTGAAAGGTGCTTCTGTGTAGCGATGGCGTCTAAATGTGTTTTGGGGGAAATGTCCGGGCTGCAAAGTAACCAGTACGGTAACAGCCTTTCAGTTCCCCCCCCAACAATCTGTATTGAATTAAATCAACATGGAACCAGTAATCACTAACTTTGTTTCCCCCGGCCCCTTATTGGAGAACACCCAGCTAGTAACCTAGCAACCAAGCTTCAGCTAGCGGCAGTCAGAAACTCAGGTATCTTCGAATCTACTTACAAATAAATATGGGGAAGTTCAACCGTATTTGGTTGGAAAACATCGAATTTAGTGCTTGGTTGAAACCAGTGGAGGGAACGTGTTTGAAGCCCGCTGCACCTTTAGCAAAAGAGATTAGCGTTTGTTTAGCTAATGCAGCGTTAGCTAGTGCAGCGTTAGCTAGTGGAGCGTTAGCTAGTGGAGCGTTAGCTAGTGCAGCGTTAGCTAGTGGAGCGGTAGCTAGTGCAGCGTTAGCTAGTGGAGCGTTAGCTAGTGGAGCGTTAGCTAGTGCAGCGTTAGCTAGTGGAGCGGTAGCTAGTGCAGCGTTAGCTAGTGGAGCGGTAGCTAGTGCAGCGTTAGCTAGTGGAGCGTTAGCTAGTGGAGCGTTAGCTAGTGCAGTAGCAGCTAATGCAGCGTTAGCTAGTGGAGTGTTAGCTAGTGCAGCAGCTCCCGCAACAACACCGGGGGACCTCCGGGTGACGTTTGAGTCTACGTCAACCCTAAAAGCGGAGGTGCTGTAGACGCTAAACACCAATCATACAACAGCAACGATGACAGATTGTAGCCAAGGCAGCAGAGCTCTGAATATAGCTCTTGTCACTCTCTCTGAGACACACACACACACACACACACACACACACACACAGTTCTGTGTACTGTTATGTTCAGTCATTCTTCTTATGTTGAACGTAAATACATTCACTTTGTAAGTAATTATGGGACGTATTTCTTCTTAGCAATTTTCCTTCATACTTTCTTGCCGTGAAATAGGTCTTAAATTATTTTCAAAGTGGTCTTACATTTGAGTTGGTGAAACCTGCAGCAAGTAAAAAAACGAACTACAAGAAACAAATAATGAATGTAAAATGTAAAAACCGGTGCCATAATGAATGTAACCTTCAGGTTATGATGTATGTCAATCCTCTGACAGGTGTGTTGCCTCCGCCCCTCACACACCTTCAGAGAATATGCTTTACAGACCGCCTCGGGCTCAAAACAAGACAGGCAACACGAAGGATTACTCCATGAGTCTTTAATAGCTACTAATCTTTTTATAAGATGGTGTTCTGCAAATCACTACAATCATTACATTACATGTTATTTGTTAGACGCTTTTATCCAAAGCGACTAACACACATTCAGTACTGTGGACAATCCCCACAGGAGCAATCATCTTGGTTTTGTACAACATAGAAGTCTTTAAACAAATATTAGATTTTTGCCAAGAAGGGGAAAAAGACCTGTGAGAATCTGCCTTTTTATTATGGTATAAAGGCAGATTCAGTGTAACGTCTTTTTTAGTTTACAAAGGAGCATCAGAGCCACACATGCTGCTTTAGTAGGCAGGCTTCATTTCTTTAAAACCATTGCTTTACAGGAGGAACAGGGTAATTAGAAACAAAAGACAAAGTATGCAAATGCACAATATTTGAACCAGCAAAACCAGAGACAGCTGGAGAAAACCAGTACAAAATAATAATTAGCAAATCATCTTGAGGCATCAGCCGGCACACATATTTAAATATGACTTGTCAAACCTTTGAAGTTGAAATCTTGAATGTAATAACCGCGTTGTCTGTTTCTGGAAGCATAACCCTTACTTCCAATTGTCTCAGTGTATTAACCATCAGCATGTGCACACACCTCACCAAGTGGATGCAAACAGCTCCACCTGTCTGCAGCTGCTGTCACTGCAGGAAGGGGTCAGGGAAGGGACTTGTGTGTACATTTACATTACATGTTACTTGTTAGACGCTTTTATCCAAAGTGACTTACATACATTCAGTACTGTGGGCAATCCCCACAGGAGCAACTTGGGGTGAAGTGTCTTGCCCACACAACGACATGCTGACTGCAGTGGGGTTTGAACCTGTGACCCCTGATTCAAAGTCCAGCACTTTAGCCACAGCCGCCCACTAAATGTGTGTGTAGGGTAATGAGTGTGTATATGCACAAAGAGAAATGAATGTATGATTCTGAATGTGAAGAAGGATTTAGACCACTCAGTTGTGTGTGTATACAAAGCCATGGCTCCTTTACAAATTATACCATTTTAGAGGATTATTCTTGACTTGTATAATTATATTTTTGAACAAATCATAACTCACATTTAACTTGGCAGCTTTATTCGAAGCCTTTCAGCCTCTCTTATAGTCTTTTCCATCTAATAGTGTTTGCTTGGTGGTTGCTTTATTCAAGATTCTAAGGCTTTATTGTCCTATGAACAGTAGCTACAGTGTAGATATGGCCATGAAAATGTTAAGTCACATGTTCCTCCAACAACCTACATATACATAAGACATAAAACAATTGAACAGTGCGAATTTATCTTGTAAGACCACTTAACGGTGGGGTAGGTAATTCACTTCAGAAACACTTTGTTATATTCCATCCCGATAGCAATGAATATATTAAATGCTTTGACAATAAATTCATCTGTGGAAGCCGTGGCGCTGTAAAAAGCACGACCAATCATCTGAGCCGGCCCGGCTAAAGTAACTGGATGGCCTACCTGCCTGTCAGCCTTCCATCTGTGCACAAACTTACCTCGTGCCCTCATTGGTCATGTGCGCGTTGGAGGAGGGGCTCTGTGAGGAAGTCTGAAGGAAGAGACAGATTGTTTCCGGCTGTGTATTTTCTAGTGATGGGAATTCCGGCTCTTCTTGGTGAGCCGGATCATTTGGCTCGGCTCCCAAACGGCTCTTCAGTTTACCACATATTATACCTTTTATAATTAAATAAATTGTAGCCCTGTGTTGACTAATGATTTATATGTGTACACATATATCACTTACATTATTCAATACATCCTTTGTACTGAAGTATTCAAAAGTCAAAATGACATGTTTAATACAAATGATTTGCTGTGGCCAAATGTTTTCATTGCATTGACAGACCCTAACTCTCTGATCCCACCCAGTGACTGCACTGCCTTAGAACCACGCTACACAAAGCAGATAGCAACACCTATACAAACTTAAGCATAGACATTTAAAAAAAGGGGCTACTGTATGGACATTTTAGAATTATATTTAAAGAAAAGGCCCTGACAAAACAGCAGGGCTCTGTTTCAGTATTAACTATAGAAAACAAGAAATAACATGGTGAAAATAAATATATTGCAATGCTCAAAACAGCAGCATCCAACTGTCTCGAATCCTTGGATAGTACATGTCACTGCATGTATGCACGGAGCAGCTGTAGCGCGGAGATCATCAAATCATTCTGTCTTGTATTACTTAACAAAAAAAACTAAAACGGCTCGTTCGCGGGCGCGAGCCGGCTCCCGTCGTTCACTTAAAAGAGCCGGCTCCCGTCGTTCACTTAAAAGAGCCGGCACCCGTCGTTCACTTAAAAGAGCCGGCACCCGTCGTTCACTTAAAAGAGCCGGCACCCGTCGTTCACTTAAAAGAGCCGGCACCCGTCGTTCACTTAAAAGAGCCGGCTCCCGTCGTTCACTTAAAAGAGCCGGCTCCCGTCGTTCACTTAAAAGAGCCGGCTCAAGGAGCCGGCTCGTTCGCGACCGACACATCACTAGTACTTTCAAATTCTAGCGCACTCAAGCTGGTTTCTCCATTCTTACATACCCTAACTTTAAGTAATGCAGATGAAGTAAAGTATATACATGTCCAAAAAACTAAATACAATAAGCTAAATGGTGCAGAGACTGTTGTAAGTGAATACATAAAAGCAAGCAGGGTTTTGTCAGTTTTAGATCTGGTAGTTTTAGAGGAAATGTTTTTCCTTGGGTGGTCTCATGGCTCCACGGTTTAAGATGCAGCATATTTACAGTAAATGCAATGTCCTCAAACGAAACACACTGGAAACAATTAAGGGAAATCAAGTGGGATTAAATAAAGCTCAACTATGAATAGATAAATGTGAGTTTCTGATGTGCCGTTTTGTCTTTGTGGTCAGATGCTGCCTTTGAACACCAACATCCGAGTGGCCTACGCCAACGGGAAGGACGACGAGCAGAACTTCATCCAGAACCTCAGCCTGTTCCTCTGCACGTTCCTCAAAGAACACGGACAGCTCATCGAGAAGAGGAACAACCTGAGGGAGTCGCTCATGGAGGTACGAGGATATTGAGTTTGGTCGAGTAAACAAGCCTACAACTTTCAGCTGGTGGCGTATAATCATTTTCGCCTTGTTGAAATGAAACCTCCCTCTAAACTGTTTAGTCCTGATTACAGCTTTGCAATGACAAACATTAGGGACTGATTACAGAGGAAAGGGCCGCAATGTCTGTAGCTGTTTGCCCATTTGGATTTAGATATCATTGTTTCAGGAGGTAGACGGATTCTGTGTGGCAATAGATTCAATGAAAAGTCAGTTGTTTTTAGTTTAACAGAGAGATCTAATAATCCCAGATGTAGCAAAAATGAAAACGGGAAACTACTGATCAAGTATTCCATGTTTATTAAAAAAAGGAACTCCAGAGTCAGAGCTGGGCCAGCTCTGTGTACACATTCTGTTTTTAATTGCTCAAGGAATGGACATAAAAGCAGTGGACAAGGACAACTAAGCTGCGAAACACTTTGCTTTTACATAAAAATAATGGGTCACATAAATATGATATATACATGAGAGTAACACATGCGTCACTTCTGGGCAAAAATGACGGCTCCGCCCACTTTTGGGGGTAAACAAAGCTGTCTTTTGAATGGTGGTCAATACACATTCTGAAGTTTTTGCCAATCAGATCAGAAATGTAAGAAAACCGTGGATTTGTGGATCTTCAAAGAACCCGATTACAATGGCCTGACAGGCAAACAATTACATTCAATCATTGGAAATCGACGAGCCGGCTCGATATATGGTTAAATATAGCAGTTGGCTATCGATGTCGATGAGAGTAACATCTACGTCACTTTACGGCCCCGCTCACTTTTGGGGAAAACCAACGCTGTCATTTGAATGGCGATCGAGCCTGAAGCCACAGAGCTCTTCTGTTACCGTCCTTTCTTCTCAGAGGAAGTTCAGAAACACTGAACTCTGGATTTGTTTTAATGTTTGAGGAGCAATAAACGACACAGCAGCTTGTTGGCATGTTAAAACTATTATTTCTGCCTCGCTCATGAGAGTAACAGCTGGAGAAATTACAGCCTCGCCTACTGATTTTTAATTTAACCATATATCGAGCCTGTCTGGCCATCGTAATCGGGTTCTTTGAAGATCAGAAAATCCACGGTTTTCTTTAATTTCTGATCGGATTGGCAAAAACTTTGAATTTGTATTGACCGCCATTCAAATCACAGCGTTGGTTCCCCCCAAAAGTGGGCTGGGTCGTAATTTTCGCCCGGAAGTGACGTAGGTGTTACTCTCATCTATAACCAATCATCTAACTATTTGATAATGCCGTTCTTAATCTGCCTTTCTCTGTGAAGTCAAAAAGGGAGGGCATAACTTATAACAATCCCAAAGAACTGTCTGCTCATTCAGGGATCTTTCAGAAAACACACTTGTGTATTTGGTATTAAACACAGGTTTTTGTTGTAGTGTTTTCTACTTGTTTTCCATCTGTAACAGAATAAGTCATTGCTCTTGTCCGCCCTCAGGCGCTGCACTTCATGCTGCTGGTGTCGGAAGTGGAGGAGACGGAGATCTTTAAGATCTGTCTGGAGTACTGGAACCACTTGGCAGCCGAGCTCTACAGAGAGAGTCCGTTCTCCACCTCCAGCACCCCGCTGCTGTCCGACGTGCCCCCCCGCAGACACCTCTACCTGCCCGTGCTCTCACAGGTACGCCTCGCTACACTCAGATATTCAGACACCATGAGCTTCCACAACTGTTACCAATTTAGACTGATAAACCCAGGTGGGAAGTAGTGGAGTACAAATACCTCGTTACTGTACCTAAGTACGACTTTTTACTTTGACTTCTTACATGTTGAACTCAAATACCTGTACTTTCTACTTCTTACATGTTGAACACAAATACCTGTACTTTCTACTTCTTACATGTTGAACACAAATACCTGTACTTTCTACTTCTTACATGTTGAACTCAAACACCTGTACTTTCTACTTCTTACATGTTGAACACAAATACCTGTACTTTCTACTTCTCACATGTTGAACTCAAATACCTGTACTTTCTACTTCTTACATGTTGAACACAAATACCTGTACTTTCTACTTCTCACATGTTGAACACAAATACCTGTACTTTCTACTTCTTACATGTTGAACACAAATACCTGTACTTTCTACTTCTTACATGTTGAACCCAAATACCTGTACTTTCTACTTCTTACATGTTGAACTCAAATACCTGTACTTTCTACTTCTTACATGTTGAACACAAATACCTGTACTTTCTACTTCTTACATGTTGAACTCAAATACCTGTACTTTCTACTTCTTACATGTTGAACACAAATACCTGTACTTTCTACTTCTCACATGTTGAACACAAATACCTGTACTTTCTACTTCTTACATGTTGAACACAAATACCTGTACTTTCTACTTCTCACATGTTGAACACAAATACCTGTACTTTCTACTTCTTACATGTTGAACACAAATACCTGTACTTTCTACTTCTCACATGTTGAACACAAATACCTGTACTTTCTACTTCTTACATGTTGAACACAAATACCTGTACTTTCTACTTCTCACATGTTGAACACAAATACCTGTACTTTCTACTTCTTACACTTTGAACACAAATACCTGTACTTTCTACTTCTTACACTTTGAACACAAATACCTGTACTTTCTACTTCTCACATGTTGAACACAAATACCTGTACTTTCTACTTCTTACATGTTGAACACAAATACCTGTACTTTCTACTTCTTACATGTTGAACACAAATACCTGTACTTTCTACTTCTTACATGTTGAACACAAATACCTGTACTTTCTACTTCTTACATGTTGAACACAAATACCTGTACTTTCTACTTCTTACATGTTGAACACAAATACCTGTACTTTCTACTTCTTACATGTTGAACACAAATACCTGTACTTTCTACTTCTTACATGTTGAACACAAATACCTGTACTTTCTACTTCTCACATGCTGAACACAAATACCTGTACTTTCTACTTCTTACATGTTGAACTCAAATACCTGTACTTTCTACTTCTTACATGTTGAACTCAAACACCTGTACTTTCTACTTCTTACATGTTGAACACAAATACCTGTACTTTCTACTTCTTACATGTTGAACACAAATACCTGTACTTTCTACTTCTCACATGTTGAACTCAAACACCTGTACTTTCTACTTCTTACATGTTGAACTCAAATACCTGTACTTTCTACTTCTTACATGTTGAACTCAAACACCTGTACTTTCTACTTCTTACATGTTGAACACAAATACCTGTACTTTCTACTTCTTACATGTTGAACACAAATACCTGTACTTTCTACTTCTTACATGTTGAACTCAAATACCTGTACTTTCTACTTCTTACATGTTGAACTCAAATACCTGTACTTTCTACTTCTTACATGTTGAACTCAAATACCTGTACTTTCTACTTCTTACATGTTGAACTCAAATACCTGTACTTTCTACTTCTTACATGTTGAACACAAATACCTGAACTTTCTACTTCTCTCATTTCCCAAACAGCTGGTTCCTTTAGTCTGAATGTGTGTTTGATGCGTGATCATTATTATTTAGAGTCATTGCGTGCCTATTGATTTGAACACGATCCGTGTATCCATCATTTCCTGGTCTTCTCTAAAGAAGAGGGACCAATGGAAACGTTGTCATGTTGCCGTTGTTCAGCATGGAAACATTCATTAGCTAACAATGACATTATTGTTCTATTCATATAAAGGGAGGTCAGGTACTCTTTAAAACAGCTGCTAGTTATGGGTACTTTTTACTGAAGTACATTTCAAAGCCTCTTTACTTTGATAAAAGTAGAAGTACTGACTAAACTTCTTTACTCAAGTCAGAGTATTTTTAAACACGAGTATCTGTACTTCTACTTGAGTAAAGGATGTGTGGACTTTTGCCCTCTGGTGATAAATGACACCCATTTTACGTTAAATGATCAAGCGTTTGGTCTTTAAAATGTAAAAAATTGCTAAATACCCCATGGGATTTCCTCAAATGTTAATTATATTTTGTCAAACCAATAGTCCAAAGACTTCAACTTCATCGACCAAAACAAACAAGTGTTCTCTTTGTAGAAGCAGGAATCAGATAATGAGACATTTTTGCTTTGAATCATCAAATATTTGGCAATCTAGATAATGTTTCTGTAATGGATTAAGATTAGTCACGCTCTCTCAAAGGGACCTCACAGTTTCTCAGATCCACCTAATGCCTTCTCCTCTCCCTCTTCCTGAAGGTGCGTTTGCTGATGGTGAGCCGCATGGCCAAACCAGAGGAGGTGCTGATTGTGGAGAACGATCAGGGGGAGGTGGTGCGGGAGTTCATGAAGGACACGGACTCCATTAACCTTTACAAGAACATGAGGGAGACTCTCGGTACGTTAATATCTGTGGTGACCAATGTGTTTTTGTGCTTTTTAAAGTGCCCCCTTTGTTTCCTCTGTAGTGTAAATGTATTTGTAAAGCGTCTACTCACTACATTTGTATTTTTATTCCAGTTTGCTCATTCCTTTATTGGCTCATATTTAGTTTACACCAGTGTGTATTTTGGCAGCTATTTTTGATTTAGTCTTTAGACAAATGGTTATTAGTTTTAGTCACATTTTAGTAATTTCTATCCTTCATAGTTTTAGTCCAGTTTTAGTCAAAATGTTTTCTCTCTTTAAACCAATTCAGGCAAATACAGGAATCTGAAATTGGAATCAAGGTGACAGCACCACGTGTTACAATTCGTAAAGCAATATTTCACTCTCTTAACACTTTACTTTTAATGGTACTACTACTCTTAGACACAAAGAGAGAGTTAGGCCCCGCCCCCCCCGCACACAGACAGACAGACAGACAGACAGACAGAGAGAGAGAGAGAGTTAGGCCGCCCGAGAGAGAGAGAGAGAGAGAGAGAGAGAGAGCCCGCAGACAGAGAGAGAGAGAGAGAGAGAGCCCGCAGACAGAGAGAGAGAGAGGCCCCGCAGAGAGAGAGAGAGAGAGAGAGCCCGCAGACAGAGAGAGAGAGAGAGAGAGAGCCAGAGAGAGAGAGAGCCCGCAGACAGAGAGAGAGAGAGAGAGAGAGCCTGAGAGAGATCC